GCCTTGAGCTGAAGAGCTGAGGGACAGCGCCCAGGCCCAGAGTTCAAGCCCCACGACCGACAAAAAAAAAAAAAAAGAAGGTAGCTAGAATACAGAAGGCTGAGAAGTAGGACCATGGTGCTTCTCCCTTATAGCCCAAGGGCAGTCTGGATTTGGGGTGCCAATACTCACCTGCCCAGCCAGTGAGACAGAATGCAGCCAAGATCAGCAGGGTGAGGAGAGTGAGAGTTCTCATGGTGTCTGTCAGCACTTCGGCAACGTTAGTGCTCAGGATTCAGCTGACTGCCCCTTGCAGCTACCAGCACTTTATATACCCACTGGGCTGTGCCCCCGTGGTGCAGGCAGGGCAGGGGACACTGCCAGGGCTAATTGGGGGTCATGTGTCTTGGCCCTATAGGCCAAACCCAAAGGATGTTGTGGTTGGGGGCTGTGGCTGCCAGGGCAGGGCCCCGAGATTAATGGATGATGGGTGAGAAAGAGGGTGCCAGATTATGATGTCACTCCTACCCCTTCTCTGGGGACTGCTCCACACCCTCTTGCCCCTACTCTTTTCTTAAAGACCAGCAATCTCAGTATAAAGCACTGGCTTGGCCCTAGGGGGAGCCAAGGGGGAGGAAGGGGGCTCAGAGGTCTAAAATAGGTGCAGCAGAGCTAGGCTCCAGTTGTCATAGCCTATGATTTGCACTGTCTGCCCCAGGGCAGGAGCCAAACCCCAGGAAGGGAGTACCAGGCCAGGCAGGCAATGCCCTCATTCACCCTGCAATCTGTTAAAAGGCAGGCTGGTATGGGGCCACTTCCTGTATAAGTCCTATACATCAGGACTGGAGAAGAGGTCAGGGCAGCACAGGACCAAGAACCAAAGCCCACAAAGGTGAGACTGGGTGTATGAGGACAACCTCTCCATCTCTGGGGCAGGCTAGGTGACAAGTGTCAGTGTACAGGGGTAAGGCCTTCAGGGAGCAGGGAGATGGAGTCACTTTTAGGTTACCCAGCAATCCGCTAGCCAGTACAGCCTCCCTCGTTAACAGCCGTTGGAGGGACTTGCCCCCTATTCCCATTCCAAAGTTGATAGGAAGGCCTGTCTTCTGACAGAACATTGTGACCTAAAACATCCATCCTACTCAAGAGCTGCCAGTGTCTCAGACTAGTGAGAAGAGAGGGTCCTGGCCCCTCTTTGTTTGGCCTGTGTCTTTGCTCACCTACCAACCCACCCACCAGGACTCAGTCTGCCCAACCTGATAGATAAAGCACTGGATGGGGAGGACTGGCAGGAGGGAAGTATCTGCCTAAATGCAGCTGTTCCTCAGAGAAAAAGGTAAGCTGGGCTCTGTTTATGGGGAGGAGAGCAGTTAGCAGAGGTCACTGTGATATCTTCCTGTCCTTGTCTCCTCAGGCAGCTCTAAAAAAGCCTACATATGGGTTAGGGTGAGCCTTCATCAAAAAAGAAAAACTGTTTACCAAATTGGAGCCCACCTCCTTTTCCCTCGGGTCTAGGAAGCACCATCTACCATCTGGTGACCCTGGCTAGAGAAAACTGAAGTAGGGAAAGACACAGTGCCCAGGTTTTGTGGAGGGCCCCACTATGTAAAACCCTGCCACCTATGGATACTTTCCCAGAATTAAGCCAATTAGCAAGGAGAAGGGTAGGGTGGGTTGGACAGAGTGATACCTTTGGCAGTTTGTTCTGACCTCAGGAAACACAAGGGTCCTGTTTTCTGATCTGCTGCCCTCTGCACATGATCAGATACAATCCGAGGCCCTAGCCTACTCCAGCCTAGAGGTTCCCAGGGCACTGAAGCTAAGGCCTTGACCTTGGCCAAGAGCTAGGGAGCCCAGGAGTGGTCTTGGCACAGGAAGCCCGGCGAGGAAGCATCCTCACAAATTATAGGGTAGAGGAAGAAGTTTATTTACAGATGTGGGGAGAACATGGCATGGCCCTTGGGCTGGCCAGTAAGGGGACAATCAGTGAAAACACATTCTCTAGGCCAGACCCAGGGATGGTATGTGTGTGTGTGTGTGTGGGGAGTGCTGGCCATACTAGAGAAGAGGCTTGGTATCCCACCCCATCCCCAGGGAGAGCTGGCTACAGGCTTCCATGTGGAAGAAAATAAGAGGAATCTTAAGGTAGTTGAGTGTGTGACTCCATGGGAGCCCCATAAGTTTAGCGGCAGTTGGGGGGCCTGCTCCAGCCTTGTCCTCCATTACTGCCTGGGGACTGGCACCATTTCAGCTGTTCTCAAAAGGCAGCCTGCCCAGGCCCAGAATGCTGACCACAGGACCTTGACCTTGACTGCCCTCTACTCTGGGGTTTGCCTGTCTCCTCCTCACTCAGGCTCCTTCAGTACATCCAGCAGCTCCCTCTGTTCTCTGTGTAGGGCCTGAAACCAATGAGAGAGAATAGATAGAGCATGAGGAAACTAACTTTGTCTCCTCAGTGCCTAATTCCATCTTAGCTTTCCCCAGTACAACGTAGCTCATGTCACTGGTTTAGCAGGGTAGGTGTCAAGACAGAGGCACATGGGGACTCTCTGCAATTTAGCACATATACACAGCAGCTGCGGTACCATGGTCACCTGGGATGGGCTCTCCAGAGCAGAGACCATTTTCAACAAGAGCTTGCAAAGTGGCCCCACATCCAGATTCCTCAGCAGAGCTTTTTTGTATATATGCCAGTAATAAAGCTTGAACTCAGGGCCTAGACACTGTCCCTTAGCTTTTTCCACCAAGGCTAGTGGTCTATCACTTGAGCCATAGCTCCACTTCTAGCTTTGTGGTGGTTAATTGGAGATTAGAGTTTCTAGGATTTCCTACCTGGGCTGGCTTGGAACTGCAATCTTCAGTTCTCAGCTTCCTGAGTACCTGGGATTACAAGTGTGAACTACTAACTGGTCTTGTGAAGAGAGACCAGGAAGAATCTGTACAGCATGAATTTGAGGAGAACAGGCAGGTCGGCCCCAGAGAGTGGCTGCAGGTTAGTCCATCTCGATGGATTCAGCAGTAGTGTTACCACTGGATCCTTCCTGAAGCTCCTCTTGGAATTGAACTTGGGTCAATAAGCCATCTTGTTACCCCAGCCACAAGTGCTACCTGTCCTTCATGCGATCACACCCTTGCCTTTCATCCAGTCACTTGAGGTCATATTCAGAAATTAAGTTGGCCTAAAAGAACACACTTGGGCTGGGAATGTGGCTTAGTGGTAGAGCGCTTGCCTAGCATGCATGAACCCCTGGGTTAGGTTCCTCAGTACCACATAAACAGAAAAAGCCGGAAGTGGCGCTGTGGCTCAAGTAGTAGAGTAGAGTAGAGCTAGCCTTGAGCACAGAGAGGCTCAGGGACAGTGCCCAGGCCCTGAGTTCAAGGCCCAGGGCTGGCAAAACAAAACAAAAAAACCCCAAACACATTTGCTGCTGGAGGATGTTCTGGATGTACAGAAGGCTTCAGAAATCATTCTAATGTGTGAGTTTTAAAAGTCCTGGCCATCGGGCTCGGAAGGTGGCTCAGTGGTAGAGCGCTTGCCTTGCATGCCTGAGGCTCTGGGTTCGATTCCTCAGCACCATATAAGCAAAAAGAAAAAAGCTGGAAGTGGTGCTGTGGCTCAAGTGGTAGAGCGCTAGCCTTGAGCTGAAGAGCTGGGGGACAGCACCCAGGCCCAGAGTTCAGGCCCCATGACTGGACCCCCCCACCAAAAAAAAAAAAAAAGTTCTGGCCATGTTTACTTGGAGCACCACTGGATGAAGAGGAGATGGAGAAACCATTACTGAGACAAAACCCCTTGTCCTCCCTGGACGTCAGAGACTGCAGCAGAGAACATGTGCTACATGGACTTCAGCAAGAGCAGGCTGGTGGGGGGAATCCAGGCAGCCTGACTGCTTAGGTCAAGGCTGGCAAGGAGCCTCTTGCAACAGAGGTGATGATACGTGACTGTTCCTGTGGGCCGCCCTCCTGCTCTTCTCTCCTCTTGGCAGAGGAGAAGCTACAAATTTGGGGATCTCTAGAGCTTACCAGAAACCAAAAGGAAAGTAAACATGGCTTGATACTCACCTGCCAGGCCTGTTGCCGGGCTTCAACCAGCTGCTGTAGCTCTTCTACCTGCCTGCGACCAGCCAGGACAGTGTCTGCCAACTCCTTGTTCTTGGCTTTCTGCTTCTGCACCTGGCGCTGAAGGGTGTCCCGTTGTTGCAGGAAGTAGGGTGCCATGACACTGCACAAGTCTTTCTCTGGGATCCCACTGGGGCGCCTTGGGGTGGGCACATGGAGACAGAAAGGAAGGGATACAGGGCTGGGAATATGGCTTAGTGGTAGAATGCTTGCCTAGCATGCATGAAGCCCTGGATTCGATTCTCAGTACCACATAAACAGAAAAAGCCAGAAGTGGCACTGTGGCTCAAGTAGTAGAGTGCTAACCTTGAGCACAGAAAGGCTCAGGGACAGTGGCCAGGCCCCGAGTTCAAGCCCTGGGACTGGAGAAAAGAAAGAAAGAAAGAAAAGGAGGGATACACGTGGAGGACTCTGCTTCCAAACTCAATCATTACTACCTCCAGTCTCAACTTGGGCTGTCAAGGCCTCTCATGTGAAAATTCTCACCTCCTAAAACCTGTTCCTGTGAGTAGTGCTCTCCTCCATTCCTCGGCTTCATTGCCTGGGCATATCTCCCAGTCTGCTCACTCATGCCTCGTTATACCCCACCTTCTCTTCCCTTCCACATATGCCCCATCTCCAGCACCCTAGAGCTGGGGGTGATTTTCCAGTCTCCCCCTCTGTTCTTGTGCTCTGCTGGTATATATCCCATCAGACTCTGAGCTGGAAGGGTTGGGGTGAGGCAGGATGAACCTACCAAGATGGGGTAGCTCCTGACAGAGCCTGGACCCTGGGAGGCCCCAAGAAGTGTTGGCCGATATGAGAAGATAAGGAAAGATGGGTCCAAGAAGGTAAGATTTATACAGGGAGTAGATGCCACTGTTTTCTTTTCTTTTTTGTTGTTTTGGGGCTTGAACTCTGGGCCTGGGCACTGTCCCTCAGCTCTTCAGCTCAAGGCGAGCGCTCTACCACTGGAGCCACAACGCCACTTCTGGCTTTTTCTGCTTATGTGGTGCTGAGGAATCAAACCCAGGGTCTCATGCATGTGAGGCAAGCATGCTTCCACCGAGCCACCTTCCCAGACTGATGCCACCGTTTTGTAAAAATTCTTTTTCACTAGTAAAATTTCTTTTTTTTTGGTCGATTGTGAGGCCTGAACTCTGGGCCTGGGTGCTATCCCCCAGCTCTTCAGCTCAAGGCTAGCGCTCTACCACTTGAGCCACAGCGCCACTTCCAGCTTTTTTCCTTTTGCTTATGTGGTGCTGAGGAATCGAACCCAGGGCCTGATGCATGCAAGGCAAGCACTCTACCACTGAGCCACTGTCCCAGCCCCCAGACTAGTCTTGAGCACAAAGAAGTGCAGGTATGGCACCCAGGCCTTGAGTTCAAGCCCCAGGACTGGCAAAAACAAAACAAAACAAAAAACTTAGGCACTAGTGGCTCATAATCCTAGATACTTGAGGCTGAGATTGAAGATCTCAGTCTGAGAGCTGGGAAGGTGGCTCAGTGGTAGAGTGCTTGCCTTGCATGCATGAGGCCCTGGGTTCGATTCCTCAGCACCACATAAGCAAAAAAAGAAAAAAGCCGGAAGTGGCGCTGTGGCTCAAATGGTAGAGTGCTAGCCTTGAGCTGAGGGACAGCACCCAGGCCCAGAGTTCAGGCCCCATGACCGGACCCCAAAAAAAGATATTACTACCTCTGTCCTGTGATCCTGTGAGGGAGAAATGGGTATAGAAGGCTAGAGCCTAGTCTGTTGTGTTAGCCTCCGTGCTCCACTCATCCCTCTGGGTTCCAGTCTTCTATCCTGGGATCCCTACCAGCCAGCTAGGCTTCCCACTGAAATGTCAGCTCATTCATTGCTGAATCTCTGGCATCGTCAACAGTACTGAGCAGGTAGTAGGTGCTCCCTATGTATCTGTTGACTGAATAAAAGCATCAAAGCCAGATGCTCTGCCAGTCTAACTTGTAAGTGATTCCAAATTCATGATTCTATCTCTTCCACATATCCTTCCCTCCCATTTCTCCCTCAGGCCCTGCAGGTTCTGAAAAGAGCTATCCTAGAGCTTCCTCAGCGGCCTCAAACCAACTCTTCTAAACCCCTGGGCAAGGTGTGGGGCTCATTCAGAGGGAACTCTGCAATTCAATTGTTTTTGGTTATTAGTCTGTTTATTTTCTCTACTAGTCAGGGTCCAACAGTCCCCCCAGTCTTTCTCTTTCTCCCCCCCCCTACCTTTTTTTGTTGTTGTTTTTGGGGCTTGAACACAGGGCCTGCCCTGAGCTTTTTAGATCAAGGCTAGCGCTCTACTATTTTGAGCCACAGCAACACTTCCAACTTTTTCTATGATTAATTGGAGGTAAGAGTCTCATGGACTTTCCTGCTTAGGCTGGCTTTGAACCACAATCTTCAGATCTTAGCCTCCTGAGTAGCTAGGATTACAGGCCTGAGCCACCAGCACCAGCTTCTCTCTTCCTCTGAAAGAGGGTCTGCCTCAGCCTCTTAACTAGAGGGATTACAGGTATACACTACCACATACCTGACTCAAAGCATTCTTTTTCAGGAGCAAAAAGCTAGTATCTCTTAAGTCAATCAGACTAAGTCTCCAAGAAGCTGAGGCACTGTCTCTTTGTTATCCTGCAACTTCCCATCCCTGTCTTACCAGGCTGGTCCCTTGTGGTCTTTGCCTTCTTCCACAATTTTGTCCAGTGAATTCAAGACAGCTTCTAGGTTCCCTTCCTCTTTGATTTCTGAGATTTCCTCCTGAAGAGAAAGGAGGAAAGAGCTGTAATAATACTAGGTAAGATCACAGTAGAAATTTGCTAAACTGATAATAGCAACTTGGTCAGATTTTGGCTAATTTCTATTTTGTTTTTATACTTTCCAAATCATCCCTATTTTTCTGAAATAATTAAGAAAATAAAATACTCTGATATACAGAAATTAGATCTAAAATACACTGGGATATAATCAATTATAATACAGGATTCTAAATACTCACATACAGTGAGACCTAAAGAGGATACTCAGGAGAGAAACAGAGGTATAATGCCTATGTGCATCTTCATATTTATATAAAATATACATGTTTAGATAAAATAGAAATATATAAATATGTTAAAATATAGTTATATAATATGTAAGTATTAATATAAAACTTATATTCAAGTAATATGTATTTATATAAAATATATATTTATATAAAATATATAACTACGGTATGGAAACAAGAGAGCTCTTTTTTTATTTTAATTTTTGATGATTCTGTCTTCTTTATGTATGATGTATGAAAGTGTACTTCTGGAGGGCTGGAGGAGGAGGGTACAGAACTCAGGGGAAAATGGGTGAAAAAGTGCAGCAGTGGAGCTCATTGACTGCAACAGACATTGATGAAAGTGAACCATGTGGGTAGAGATGGAAGGGAGGGAATGGGAGAGAATGAGGGAACAGATGACACTATGTGAAAGGAAATGTACTTATTACCTGACCTATGTAAAGGTAACCCTGCTGTATATCACCTCTAAAATAAAAATAAATTAGAAGAAAAAAGAAAATATAAAACAGGAAACATTTAAAAAGAACCAGCTTCACTGCCAGCCCATTAAATCTATTTTTTTTTTGTTTTTGCTGGTCATGGGGCCTGACTCTGGGCCTGAGCCTGGGCACTGTCCCTCAGCTCTTCAGCTCAAGGCTAGCGCTCTACCACTTGAGCCACAGCGCCACTTCCGGCTTTTTTTTCTGTTTGCTTATGTGGTGCTGAGGAATCGAACCCAGGGTCTTGAGCATGCAAGGCAAGCGCTCTACCACTGAGCCACCTTCCCAGCCCCTAGAAGCTGTTCCTCTTGACTTTCAACATTCCTCTTGATTTTCTTATCTGCACTATATTACCCTTTGCTAATTCCACATATTGATAAGACTATCCTGGACTGACAGCATAGGGGTCTGACTCTCTTTTCGTGCCATTCCTGGGCCTTGACCCTGGGGCCTCGGCTCTGTCCCTGAGCCTTCAAAAAAAATATATAATTTTATTGTTATTATTAAGGTGTTGTTAAGGTCTATCCCTTAGCTCTTCTGCTAACGCCTGACAGTATACCACTTGAGCCACAACTTCACTTCTAACTTTTTTTTTTCTTTTTTTTGGGGGGTCCGGTCATGGGGCCTGAACTCTGGGCCTGGGCACTGTCCCTCAGCTCTTCAGCTCAAGGCTAGGACTCTACCACTTGAGCCACAGTGCCACTTATGGCTTTTTTCTTTTTGCTTATGTGGTGCTGAGTAATCGAACCCAAGGCCTCAGGCATGCAAGGCAAGCACTCTACCACTGAGCCATCTTCCCAGCCCCCATTTCTAACTTTTTGATGGGTAATGAGTCTTATAGACTTTCCTGTCTGGGGTTAGCTTCAAACCATGATTTTCAGGCTCCTGAGTAGCTAGGATTACAGGCCATTAGCATTTAGCTTTTTTTTTTTTCTTGCTGGGGATGAAATCCAGGGCCTCACATATGCTAAGCAAGCGCTCTAGCTCTGTACCACTGAGCTACATTCCTAAACCTCATGTTCTTTGTTTTTGTCCTAGTCCTGGCGCCTGAATTCAGGGCCTCAGCACTGTCCTCTAGCCTTTTTTTAAAATATAATTTGAGGGGCTAGAAGGGTGGCTCAGTGGAAGAGCGCTTGCCTTGTATGCCTGAGGCCCTGGGTTCGATTCCTCAGCACCACATAAGCAAAAAGGAAAAAGCCGGAAGTGGCGCTGTGGCTCAACTGGTAGAGTGCTAGCTTTGAGCTGAAGAGCTGAGGGACAGCGCCCAGGCTCTGAGTACAGGCCCCACGACCGGACCCCCCCCCAAAAAAAATATATAATTTGATTGTTATTAAGGTGCTTTGTAAGTTAGGTAAGTAAGCACATTTCTTTTGGACAATGTCACCCCTTCCTTTGTGTTCCCCGTTACTCCCTCCTGTCCCTGCCCACAAGTTGCATAGTACCTGAGATTTTTTGCTCAAGGCTAGTGCTCCACCATTTGAGCCATGGCTCCGTTTCTGGCTTTTTTGGTAGCTAATTGGAGATAAGAGTCTCAGTGACTTTCCTGCCTGGGCTGGCTTTGAACCTTGCTCTTCAGATCTTAGCTTACTGAGTATCTAGGATTACAGACATGAGCTATCAGTGCCCAGCATATGTCCTTTATATCCATAGTTTATTCGACTTACTAAATGGCTAGTCTAGCTGGGTGCCAGTGGCTGATGCCTATAATCCTAGCTACTCAGGAGGCTGAGATCTGAGGATCACAGTTCAAAGCCAGCCCTGGCAGGTAAGTCCATAAGACTCTTATCTCCAATTAGCCATCAGAAAACTGGAAGTGGCGCTGTGGTTCAAGCGGTAGAGTGCTCATCTTCAGCTGAAGAACTCAGGGACAGCGCACAGGCCCAGAGTTCAAGCCCCAAGACTGACAAAAAAAAAAAGGCTTGTCTATACTAGGCATTGTCCTGGGAGTAGGATATATAAAGATGAGTAAGACCTTAGCTTTCCCTTACTGAGCTCTTCCTTATACAGTCTAGTGGGCAGGCAACATATAAACATATAATTACAATATACAATGATGAGAGCAGGGGTCACTCAAGATACCCATGTTACTTGGAAGGGTGACTGATGCTGCAGCCTGCTGGGCATACAGGACAGTCCTAGGTGCTGAAAAGACAAGAGAGTTGAGTCACCACCTTTAGGGTACTGACAATCTAGGGATAAAACCTAAGCCAATGGTATCTTTAAGGCTTCTTGCAACTCACCCGGATAGATGTCTGCAATTGAGTTATAAACTTGTCATAGATTCGCTGTGTCATCTCAGGCTGCAACTGGTAGAAGTGTTTGTAACAGTCAGTGAACCTCTGGTAGCTGGAGGGAAGAAGGAGGCAGATGTGGGGAGGGCCAAGCATACGGCAGCTATCAGGCTACTGGGCTCCTATGCTTCTTAGCACAGGATTCAAGCTTTGTCCACTTTGTGGTCCTGGCTAATGAAATGGATGCAAATTTTCCATCTCTAGTGCCACAGGATGGTTCACCTCACCACCAGTGCCCATTACCTTCTCCATTACTCTCAGCAGAGCTTTTTCTTTTCTTTTTCTAATCATAGGGCTAGAGTGTAGGGCCTAGGCACTTGTTCCTGACCTTTTTCGCTCAAGACTAGCACTCTACCACGTTGACCACAGCACCACTTCTGAGATAGAGTCTCATGGACTTTCCTGCCTGGGCTGGCTTCAAACCTTGGTCCCCAGATCTCAGCCTCCTGAGTAGCTAGGATTACAGGAGTGAATCAGTGGTGTCCAGCAGCAGAGCCCTTTTAAGTTCAGAGGTTTCTTTAAAAGTGGGAAAGTGAAGCCAGGTGTTGATGGCTCATGTCTATAATTGTAGCTATTAAGGAGGCTGAGATCTGAGGATCGTGGTTCAAAGTCAGCCAGGCAGGAAGGCCCATGAGACTCTTATCTCCAATAAACCATTCAGAAAACGGGAAGTGGCAAACACCAAAGTTCACGTGAACATGGCAATAGCCAATGTACAGTGGTTTGAAGGCTCAGTGTTATGGGCTAATGAAGGGTAGCAAAAGGTTCATCTTAAGTTGCGGAACAGGGGTAGCCTTGGTGACCTCTCATGACCTCCATCATGAAGCAAGTTCCAAGTAACCAAAGAACAATTCAAAGGACAGTTCTGGGCATCATTTCAACCTTTAGCAGTCCCAGATATGTTATTTTGCTGCTGGTTCCACCGGCCACACAGTCTGTGGCTGCAGGGAGGGACACATGATGCCTGCCCTGGTGGGGCCGAAATTGAAACTGGATAGTTGTGGCTCAGACACCAGAAATCCTGTTCTTCTAGCCTACTGGGGAGAAACTGACTGCCCTACCACTGTTATCTATGAACTCTTGTGGGTTGTCCCTTAATTTGAGAATTCAGTGATAGTGAAGGGCTCAGAAACAGGCACATTCATCCAAATAAATCAGATGGGAATATATATTGAATAGGACCATGTGATTTAAGCAAAGAAGTTAGTCAGCTAGACTGGGGTCCAAAGTGATTCCTTCCTTGTCAGCCAAAGCAGACTTGGCAATAGTTTGAATGTCCTGTAGACTTGCTGAAAAATACATTCAGGGAGAAGCAGGAAAGTAATATGTTTGGAAAACATTCGTAACCATTTATCCCCCGAGTACAAAATGTTATTTTCCCATGAAAGCTGCAATATCCTTGTGGACTTCTGCAATGTAGACTCTCTGGGACACCCAGGGTAATGGTAAAAGCACACAGACACTGTCTCTTAGACAGGGAACCCCCTTAGACTGAAGTGAGACCCAGGCTGCCTGACTCTAGGCCTGCCCCACTATGAGCTACTTCTCCCACCCTAGACCTTAGGCCCCAGGGCCTGGATTGGACAGCACAGTCCTCCTCCAGGGACTCCCTTAAGGCCTCTGTTCCTGTGCTCTCCTTCACCCCATGTTGAAACAGGTTCTTGGCTTTGACCTTCTGAGGTACACAGGTGGCCACCCAGCTATGTATTAAGTTAAAAAAAAAAAAAGCTGGCATTGGTGGCTCATGTCTGTAGGCTGAGATCTGAGAATCATGGTTTAAAGCCAGCTGAGGCAGACAGATCTGGGAGTCCTATCACCAATTAACTAGCAAAAAGCCAGAAGAGAAGATGTGGCTCAAGTGGCAGAGCCCTAGCAGTGAGTGAAAATGTTGATTGAGAGATCAAGGCCCTCAGTTCAAGCCACTGCTGTTATAGTATGTGTGTGCACGTGCATACACACACACAGAGAGACAGGGTCATATGACCAAATTTTAAAACTAAAACCACCATGTAACAATATTAACTGATTGTAGTCCCTTTTTTGGGGTCAGTTGTGAGGCTTGAACTCAGGGCCTGGGTACTGTTCCTGAGCTCTTTTGCTCAAAGGTAACACTCCACCACTTTGAGCTACAGCTCCACTTTGTTTTCTGGTAGTTAATTGGAGATAAGAGTCTCCTGGACTCTCCTGCTTGTATAGGCTTTGAACCTTGATCCTTGGATCTCAGCCTCCTGAGTAGCTAAGATTCCAGGTGGGAGCTACCAGTGCCTGGCTTCATTACTTTCTCTTAAGCTTTTCCCCTCCTTTTCTTTCTGTGCCAGCACCCGGAGTTGAACTCATTCTCACTCAGTATTTTCATTTATGACTGGTGTCCGATCACTTAAGCCACAGTTCCAGTCCCTTTTAGGGTGTTTATTTTCAAGACAGAGTCTTACTTTATGCCCAGGTTAGTCTGGACTATGATTCATTATTTGTACTTTCCCTTGTTGCTGGGCTAACAAGTGCCATCCTGCCCAGCCATTGGTTGAGGTAGAGTTGCATGAACTTTTATGCCTAGGCTGTTTTTGAACCATATTCTCTCCATCTCTACTTCCTAAGCAACTAAGATTACAGGCTTGAGTGACCACACTCAAGTTTAAGTTTCTTTGAAACATTACGTATTATCTGAGTAACCTTCAATTTTTTTTGCGGGGGGGGGGGGGGAGTACCAGTCCTAGGGCTTGAACTCCCAGGCCTGGGGCTGTCCCTGAGCTTTTTTGCTCAAAACTAGCATTCTTCTATTAGAGCCAAATCTCCATTTCTGACTTTTTGGTGGTTAATTGGAGATAAGAGACTCACAGTCTTTCCTGCCTGGGCTGGCTTTGAACCATGATCCTTAGATTTCAGTTTCCTGAGTAGCTAGATTACAGGTGTGAGCCACCAGCACTTGACATCACTTCTAACTTTTTGCTAGTTAATTTGGAATGTAGGCTGGCTTCTCCTCAGAACTCAGCCTTCTGAGTAGTAGGATTACCAGTGTGAGCAGATGGCACCCAACCCTTGTTTTGTTTTTTTTTTTGACGCTTGTGGGGTTTGAACTCTGAACCTGGGCACTGTTCCTGAGCTCTTCAGCTCAAGGTAAGCGCTCTTGAGCTCACTTGAGCCACAGTGCCACTTCTGGTTTTCTGGTGGTTAATTGCAGGTAAGAGTCTCACAGATTTTCCTTCCCGGGCTGGCTTTGAACTGTGATCCTCAGATCTCAGCCTCCTGAGTCACCCAACCGTTGTTTTTGAACTCACTGGAAAATCATTTCACTCACTGCAATAAAAATGCACTATGGGAATGCCATCACTCAGAAGCTGAGGCAGAAAGACAGGAGGACAGCTTGGGCTATATAACATGTTCAAGGTCAACACATACACACAAATTAAGGTGACATTGTCCAAAAAGATATACTCTTGGACTGGGAATGTAGCTTAGTGGTAGAGTGCTTGCCTAGCATTCATGAAGCCCTGGGTTCAATTCCTCAGTGTCACATAAACAGAAGAAGCCAGAAGTGGCGCTGTGGCTCAGGTGGTAGAGTGCTAGCCTTGAGCAAAAGAAGCTCAGGGACAGTGCCCAGGCCCTGAGTTCAAGTCCAGGACTGGCAACGAAGGAAGGAAGGACGGAAGGACGGAAGGAAGGAAGGAAGGAAGGAAGGAAGGAAGGAAGGAAGGAAGGAAGGTGCTCTTGGCTCACACCTGTAATCCTAGCAACTCAGGGGGCTGACATCTGAGGATCAGGGTTCGAAGCCAGCCTAGGCAGGAAAGTTCCTGAGACTTCTTTTTAAATTGTGAAAATAGATGGGTTACAATTACATGAGCAAGGTAATGAGTACATTTTTTTTGGGGGGGCGGGGGTCCGGTCGTGGGGCCTGAACTCGGCCTGGGCGCTGTCCCTCAGCTCTTTATTTTTTATTTTATTTATTTTATTATAATTATTTTTTTGGGTCCAGTCATGGGGCCTGAACTCTGGGCCTGGGCGTTGTCCCTCAACTCTTCAGCTCAAGGCTAGCACTCTACCACTTGAGCCACAGCGCCACTTCCGGCTTTTTTCTTTTTGCTTATGTGGTGCTGAGGAATTGAACCCAGGGCCTCATGCATGCAAGGCAAGCGCTCTCCACTGAGCCACCTTCCCAGCCCCATGACTACATTTCTTATCAAGCATTGTTGCCTCCTCTTTTGTTTCCCTTTACCATTCCCTCCCCCCTCCCCCACACTAAAGTTGTAATGTTTGTCAACATAACGTCTTGTACATCTCATTGTTGCAATGGGTCCACCTGTATCCCTATTTAAACAATTTATTTTTTCCCTTCCCCTCTCCAAATTATACCAACACCAAATACAGTGAAAACAGGGGTTATACCGAGGGGGAGGGACATACAAAGCAACAAAGAAATCATCTTATAAATATTAGAAACAACAGCAAGAAAGAAAACCCATTTGAATCCTTATCTTGGGGTTCATTTTGCCTAATATCAACTTATCTGACCGTTTCTGCTTGTCTCAGACATACACTAGTTATTGCAAATAAGGGAAACCATGGGACCTATGTTTCTCTGGGCCTGGCTTACTTTACTTACTATACTTTTTTCCAAGTCTTTCCATTTCCTAACAAATGGGGCAATGGCATTCTTTCTGATGGAGGCACAGAATTCCACTATATACCAATTTTTTTTTTTTTTGGTGGGTTGTGGGGCCTGAACTCTGGGCCTGGGCACTGTCCCTAAGCTCTTCAGCTCAAGGCGAGCGCTCTACTGCTTGAGCCACAGTGCCACTTCCGGTTTTCTAATGGTTTACTGGAGATAAGAATCTCACAACTTTCCTGCCTGGGCTGGCTTTGAGCCACCATCCTCAGATCTCAGCCTCAGGAGTAGCTAGGATTACAGGCGTGAGCCACTAGCACCGAGCTGATATACCACATTTTCTTGATCCATTCTTCTACTGAGGGGCATGTGAGTTGGTTCCATATCTTAGCTATGGTAAATAATGCTCCAATAAACATAGTTGTAGTGGTAGCTTTAGTATGGTCTTGTTTGTG